GTCGAGAATTGATTTGCTTTGTTCTTCTGGAAGGGATCTAATTGGACATGCGCCCCAATTAGAGTCGTTTGGAACAATGTTTATTGCATCTTCATTGTAGATGTGATCGCCGTGATTTAGTTTGCTTGATAATCAGATGTCAATGCCCTTTAGACGAAATGGCATGTCTGTGGAATACAATATCACAGTTTGAATATTAAAAATCAATCAATTTTCGAAATTGTATAGTCGCATTTCTTTCCAGTTCTAAGTTTTTCAATTAGTCTCTTTTCAACCATGTGAAATATAAATATAATCATTGTTGTAAGCAGGGCACATTAAAATTAAACGATACGTTGGAAAAAAATATCTCGATATTTTGTAATAATTGACATTAAAACAGATGTCAGAGACATCACAATAATCTAGAAAAGTAAAAATTCTTAAGCAATCTAAATATTTCAGACATCAATCTTTTAATAACTTACTTCAAGTGTCTAGATGAAGAGGCAGACGTATGCATCTTATCCTCCGGAATGTAGAAAGGTGATCGCCGTTGACATTATAAGTCGTTTATAAATCACAGCATGATTTGCGATGCCGCGAATGAAAAGTTGCATCTAATTATGTAACACTTTCAGTTGCGTGCGCACGGCCAGGGGAATTAAACAAAATATTAGTCGAGCCAAGCACTCCGGCGCACTCTGAAATGGACCCAATCCGATCATAATTGCTGTGCAGGTCAGAGAGTTACGGAACTCCGGGTCTATACTTTGTACCTGTCGCTGTATCTACAACCGACAACTCAGTTCTCCTCGAGCGCAAGCCCGATCCGACCCGACCTGTAACATTCTAATTTGCGGGATTTCGAAAACGGGCCGGCGAAGACTTAAACGAGATACGGTTGTACAAACGGCCGGCGGCCGCGCGCGGCGAGCGCACGACGAAAGCTACTACTCCCGCGTCTTTAAGAGCCGCCAATAAACGCGGCACGGGCGCTAACGTACGTTTAGCCCGTTTGGCGCGATTACGTGCTTTGACCGACGGGTTTTTCCCTCTTCGTATCGCGCACAACGGCAACGATCCGCGCGCCGAACTGCGCGCGCCTGACTCTCGGGTTTTATGGGCCGCGACCCCACATTTCGCGGTTCTCACGCTGGCTCGCTTGCGTAGGAATGCTAAAAAGCCGTTCCTCATTAAACGAACTGGAACGGAATTCCGGAACGGTACGGCAAATACTCCGAACTCTACAGACGAACATTTAACTAAGAGGCGAGTATGGATTGTGTATCGCGTGCACACGCCTCTCGCCGCCATGCGGTTTCATCTCGCGTGTTCTCGCGAAAGAGGCACGAAACGCAGACGTGTTCGATGTGTTTCAACGACGAGCCACCGTTAAATCATCGACGTTTCGTCCGTATCTCGATGCTCCGTCGAAATTTGTATGGCGATCGAAATGCGAATTATTCTCACTTACGTAATTAGCAAGTTCTACTTCCACGCGAGGAATCGCGGTGGCGGTGAGAAATTCCCGCTGCAGGAAGCGGGTTTTCGAAGAACATTGGCGCTAAACAATGGCGACCAACGATCTATGCATGAGCACGTTCCACTAATCAGCCGTGACTAACGATCTGAAGACTGTCCCGGGAAGTCACGGGAAAAGTTTTGACGTGGATCATCGTTCACCGATATTTTCCTCCAGTCGTGTATCCGCGCGCAATATTATTATACAAAAACACGACATGATGTTAATATCTCTAGATTTATGGATAATGATCAATAATTTCGTATAAGCTCTTTTCGTGCATGTAATATAAACTTGATGTAGTGTTCATCAATGTAAAACAATTATGAAATGCAACATCAGTGTAGATAAGTCAAAGATCAAAACTTTTATCGAAACGAAATCGATTTAAAAAAATTATTAAAAATTCTACCGCACGATTAGAAATATGAAATATTGGTGTAATAAATAATTACAGAAGACAAAAAAGTTACATTTTCCGTAGTGATTAAATTTAATTTATTTATCCGTTAATCCGACTTGGAACTAATTCCGTTTATATCTCGTGGTTCGGTTATATACGTCGTTTTGATCGGATTCTTCTTTCCGCTATTGTTTTATCGCACGTTTTACTTAAAATACTTTCTCTCTCATTCTTCTTATATTTTATCGTCCTTGACACGTGCCGGTCAATGGTTGTCCGTTCAAGTGACGCAACTAGGAAGCGCGGCACTCTCGTGCGTACCGGAGCGTGTAACGGGTCGGCGTCGCGCTTAGCTGACATTCAAGTAAACACGCCCCGGCGATTTGTCCGATCTGTCCGCAAAAAGAATCCGAATAGCCAGCGATTAAACCGGCGATTTCGTCGTAAGCCATTAAAAGGCTCGCCGTAGCCGGCGTGGATCTCGGCGCGACGCGTGACGTTTCAAAGCATTTGACATCCCGGTTATGCGCGCACGCGTGCACGCACTCTACGCACCACCACGCAGGTGCGTCGGGGAAGAGAAGTGGACAGAATCGTAAACAAGCATGCGGCGGTCAACGGTCGGCGGTGCGACCGTTAAATTGTGAACAGGTAAAATCGTGCGGAGATGGATAGATAAACGTTTATTGGGGATGTTGCAACCAGGCCTTTTAAGCGCTTCATAATTATCGAGATAATGTTAAGATAAATGCACAACATCGCCGGGTGTATCGTGAAGGAATAGTAGTAAAGCAGGAAGCTTCGCGCGACCTTTCAAAGGAGATACTTTCGATATAATTGTATAAAAATTGCTTGAAAAGAGAGTAAAAATGTCATTTTAGAAAAACCTTGCGGAAGAAGAAAAAAATATAATATTAGGTAACCAATGAGAATAATATCAAGTAACAATAATTTTATGACATTTTTATCGGATTTGTGATTCTGTTCGTCGCTTTGGAATTTCTACCTGTTCTCTCCGATTCAAAAGAAAAATGTAAAAACAACTGCGAACGGTCGACGGTACTGTAATTTCGCGAATATTCATTAAATCGTTTGCCAGTGTGGATTCGCGCACCGATTTCTGGTAATAATAAGTTTATCCGAATCTTCCTCGTATATTAGCAATGGGAGAAAGAAAGAGAGAGAAAGAGAGAGAGAGAGAGAGAGAGAGAGGGGAGAAAGAAAGCTAACCTGCAACTACACCTGTATTCTTGAAACGACCGCATTTCAGTTAACTGCCTCGTCGTGCTCGCGACGTAAAGGCGAGGAGGAGCAGGCCGCTCCAATTCCTCGACCTCCTCTAACCCGGCCTTGCCGTTGATTTACGGTTTCAGCAATTCCTCGCCGATAGCGGCATGGCAGAGGAAGAAGGATCCGCGGCGGCGGTCTCCCTACCTGCCGCGAGCTCCGGGGATCGGGAGGAACAATGTCGAAACGCGAGAGCCGCTCCAGAATCGTGGTAGTCGTGCATCCGATAATGAGGCTCGCACGGCATTTTCGATCCCGTGCCGCAAATAATCCCTTTTCCACATGGGAGGCTCTCATTATCGTGTGGAGAGATGAAAGGAACGGCAGAGGAAGAGGAGGCAAAAGACAGGGATACCGAGGGCAAATAAGAGGTGGAGGGAGCTGAGGAAGGAGGGGAGTGGGGAGAAGGGGAGAGGGAGGGGGCCGGGCAACCCTTGAAGCGGGGGAGAGACGATCGAGCGATGCCGTTTGTTTTTTCAGAAGCTGATTGAGATCGCTCGAGATCATTTACCGATCGACCTGTTCCGAGACCGGACTAATCAGATCAATCAGAGAGAATGATCGCGAAATGAGTTCGGGATCATTATCCTCTCCAGATCGCGGTCAGGCTCGCTTCTCGATCGCTCGGTCCACCACGGGTCCTCGCGACCGCAAATCGAATCGCGGAATCGATTTCGAGCCGCAGTCCATAGACCATCGCGCGCGCTTAAATACATATATGCCGTAATTCACTTAGATATTAGTGGCGGTGCTCCACCGATAATACGCCGTACCGGACCGCATACATGTGTATAACGCTATTCCGTGTTATTAAAAGATTCCTTTCACGAGCACGGGATTCGCTTGTTTTCCGCCTTGGCGTTATAGCTCTCCCGAGCACTGGTTCAAAACGTTCAACGAAGGTGTTTCTTTTATAAAGCCTTAGAATAAGTTGTAATTACGGGTTATCAATCTGTGAACTCTTCGAGCACGTGCTCCAATTTAAACGTCTGAATTTCATAATTAAAATTGCTCGCATACTCTCACGAACATTGAAATTATGTAAATTATCACAATCTTTACTTGTATTTCAGTCTACATGTCAGTTTTAATCTTTAACCTCAAATAATTTTGAGATTATGTTATATTATTTGTAATCAATTTTTATATTTGTTGGATATTTTTTTTTAACTATATAATTATGCGCTTCTATCCTTTTATTACCATGACGACACAGAATACAAATCACCGACATACTTTAATATTATTGTTTTCATTTTTCTATTAATTCATGTAATTTAATTTAATTATATTAAAAAGGACTCAAATAAAAATTAAAACGTATGTCATTTTATTATTTTTTTAAATATTCAATTGTGCCAAATGTACATTTATTGCTGACTTATCAGTTATTCAGTTCTTATTAATTGCAATTATTATATAAAATTTAATTAATAAATTTAATTTTTTCTAAAAGCATAAGTAATAGGATACTGATAATATAATAGATAATATTGCTTGACAGGATCTTTGTATTTAATAATTCTTCTTTGAATATTGAATATTGAATTTCTTTGAATTTATATTTTTATTTTATCATTGTTTGAAAGTTAGCTCGGCTTATTAGATTGATTACTTATTTATATAAGTAAATAATTGTAAGTAATCCGTAGTAGAAAAAATTAATCTCAATTTCAGTTGAAAAAGAAAATAAAATTTATTAGTTATAATCTTCTTTTATACAAAACGATTTCTTGATTCTTAATGCATTTTAAATCGTACATATTTTAAGATTACCATCTTACTTTTTAATAAATCATACTTTATAATCGCTACTATGATCATTTTTAACGTATCGCAAACAACTGGAGAAACCCAGACAGGATTCCCCGATACGTTCAATTACGTCCATCTGTCCAAGCGTTTTCTGCTTCCGTGACGATGCCGCTCGCCCACCCATTATTGGAATTGCGTGATTTCACGCGCACGCCCCTGACACTTCAGCGTGTCTCTCGCTCCGTGACGAAGACGCGAACACGCCTACGAGCCACTCTGTTCTATCCTGTCCAATCATTTGCTCATTACCGCAACGGCCTCGGTAATGATCCAAAAACGTCCTGCTGCCGTAATGTCTTTTTTAACGAACTCTCCTGCATATAATTTATGCGTTATCCGTTGTTAATACGAATGTTAATATAATGTATAATGATATTCAAAAGATTTTTATTCGATGGATAAAGAATTCATTAACTTACTTATATAACTTGTATCTAATTGAAAAACATAAATTAAATTTAATTTAATAAAAGTTATATCTTATTTATACATAGTTTTTTTAATAATTTTATTTAATAATTTTAATTTCTAATAATTTCTATTAACAAGTACTTTCTTATTACAAAACGAACGTTATTTTATTTCACAAACAGAAATCTTTTCCACGCGCGTTTTCTCTATAATCTACGAACCTCCTATTTACCCCGAGCTAACAGCAGTATCTGGTACAAAGCCAGAGACTGAAAAAGGAAGCGTCGCGGCAAACATTCCCGCAAGAGCGTCCGCTGGAAAGCGGCACGGCACAGTAAAATCGATCGAATAACCCTACATTAGAGAACATTTAAGTCCGGCATCTCTTATGAGAGCATCCGAAATTAGAGACAAATTTCTAGCTTAGAACCCAACACAGCCAGAACAGAACCCTCTATTATCCGGAGCCACGTGGCTGTGGCCTCGCTCTCTTTCTGTCGAACGTGTGGCATTACACAGAATCAACTTTGTGGAATAAGGTTATTAGGACTCTAAGGAAAAAAAAAATCTTTTGAAAAACTCACCGCCTTTTGACAATAGCAATGTTCTCTTTTCTTCGGAATAATTTCTTCTGTCAATTCTGTAACAAGAAAAATAACAAAAGAAAAAGTACTTCGTTGGTTAGTAAAGCGGCATTTTGAGGCTTAAGCATAACAAATGAACGTATCAATAGAACACGATGTTTTAATGCTTTAAAGGGTGAAGTTACTCCTTTCCCCAGGGATATTGGAATTCATATTGGGACATTGGGTCATTGGGTCATTGTGTTAGAATACATATTTCTGACTTTACTATGATTATTCCTCTGACCGAGTCTTCTGTCATTTCGCGTAAAATAATTTACTAGAATAGCTAGATCGCAGAAGTCAAATGAAACCAAAAGTGAGGGAGGGATTATTACTGCGTAACTGCATCGGGGTAACTTTCTCCTTTAGCATTAGCGAGGCTGTACATGTGCGTAAGCATAAATGCTCGTGTATAAAATTAATATCATACTAATAACACGCGCGTTTATATTATATACATGTGATGCGAGATGTGATTGAAATGTAACAGAGATAAAACGAGTAAAATTGTGATTACGATATATTCTCTCTTTCTTGTGATTTGTTTACCTAAAGCTATACGACTTTACATGAGTCAAAAGTATTACCAAAGTCAATAACTGCAACATTCCAACAAGTTTTACAAATTCTAATAAATTCTAGCCAAAATACATTTTTAAAAAGGTAATTTTAAATTTTGTGAAGAAATTCTTTTCTATTATTGATAATTTCCTATGGTTCACGATACATGACACGCAAAGATTGTGTTCATGCTTCTCGTACATCTCGTTTTCGTTCGCGATTTCCACATCAACATCGCGCAGACTGATAAGATAATAGTTCAAAAAAACATAGAATAAACGTTAACTGCACGTTAGCAAAGCTTGTCAACAAAAGTCACGATGAAATGCCCGTCGCTCTAAGGGCGATTTACCAATTCTTCCAGTGCAAATCACAGATTCTTCCGGATCTTTTGCGCGCCTCCGCCTCGCCTCCCCACTCCTCTTGCTCTTGATAACCAAAGGACGCGGAAGGCTGAGGATTTTCAGATGGGTGTTGCTTCCACCGTTGCTGGGAAAAGGCTTTCGGATCGAAGCGCCGCCGAGAGCGCGGCAGTTGCCATGCCGGGCTCATTTTGATTGATCGGGCAATATAGCCTGCTCGCCCCCGCGGTTCGTGCATTACCCGGCGCGACGTGGAAAAATTGCCGGATTGAGATGCACTCATTAATAATCCCCGTGCTGTATGTGTATGTGTGTGTGTGTGTGTGTGTGTGTGTGTGTGTGTGTGTGTGTGTGTGTGTGTGTGTGTGTGCGCGCGCGCGCGCGCCCGCAAGTTGAGGATCGCTCGAGCACGGCTTTCGCCTTCGCGTCTAAATGCCGTGACGTACCGTGAGTGCAAACGAACGTCCCGTGCGTGCCGTGTGTAACTTCATAGACCGTTGAATACTCTCCCGCTCCCTCCTGCTTCCTCCCGCGCTGACGCGTGTAATTGTTACAGGTCGCAGAAGGCCGTTTTCCTATTAAGACGCGAAGTCTTGGGGAACGTTTTTTCCTTACGATGACTATCCAGGTATTTAATAGAGAAACAACAATGCAGATAAAATAACCAAGCGTCTTATCGATATTCACAAATATCTTTTCTTTCTACCTTATAATTAGTATCTCAGAATAGTATAAAAAGTTATTAAATGAAAAAAATGTCGATCGATATACTGCCGTCGTTAGAAATTGGCAGTTCTTTGGAGATATCCGACGCGAATCGTATCTTAAATCCACGACTAAGGGACAGAGAATATGGCATTTTTTGGCACAGGTAGGATTAGGAACGGCGCTGCGAGAAGAATTCCCGTGAAACTCAATATCCGTTTATCAAGGATCCACTTTGCTTCTCGGATCCGGTGAATCGCTCCCGGTCTCTTGTCGCCGATCGGAACGTAAAGTAGGCAGGTACACGTGGTTACGTATAGCTTGTGCGCGGTACCACGGATAGTTTTATGGCGGCCTTCTACCTCCCCGTAATGCATTCGGCTAAGAACTCCCCCGTCCGTGCGCGAGCGGGAGCGAGAGGATATCGCGAAGAGGGAGGAACGATCTTAATATCCTTTGATTTATCTCGGCTGGGGTCACGGCGTTCTTCCTCTCTCTTCGTTTGCCATCGCCCCCGCCTCCACGACCCGTTCCCCGCACCCGCATGGGCGGGCCAATAAGTTTTTAAATAACCATAACTCCTGGTTTTATGACCGAAACGGCGCGCGATGGCCCACGGCCACTATCTCTCTCTCTCCTTCTCGTTTCCTCTCCTCTCCGCTCCGCTCTGCGCAAAGTGTAGCGAAACAACTTGTTTGCTTTGTCCGCGGGCCATCCGATCGGTTACGCGTGGATAATCGGCAAACGATCCGACGAGGCTGTTTTGAAAATGGGGATTCTCGCCGCGTGATTTCTCCCGCGAATCTTCTCTCGGTCTTTCATTTTTTTTTCTTTAGTACCAGAAGCATATATAGCGACTCTATAATATCTATCTGCCCGTTTACATGTCACTCCCTCGACCCTGCATTCGAAACTCGGACCGGTATTCATGACTATAAGTAATTTCCACTTTTCGACTAAGAACGAAATTAATTATCAATTATATTGTATAAATATTCTTAATAAGAAGATACTGAAATATAAATAATATATTTATCTTTTAATAATTTCTGATTTTGAAAAAATTCATCAATCAAAAATTCATCAATATTTCTTCGTTATCCTTACGCACAATCAAACTGTAAACGCTTTGCTCTTTTAAAAATTACGTACATGTCAAGAGGAGAAAATAACTTTGCAAAAAATAACGAATTATAATTTTTTTCATATTTTTGTAAATATGTGTAAAATATGCGCGAACGTTTCGTTTCTTATTAAATTACGGGAATTTTGATCGACGAGTCGAAAGTCATGCCTGTATCAGAAGTCATGTAAGATATTACGGAATGGAAGCTAGAACAGCGAGGTGTCCGTTTGTCTCATTCGGTAGATATATCGGTCCAGTGTGCAGTACGAGCAGAATGCCGTGCACTGAAGTTACTTCTACTATACCATCTCGTTCTAGTCGCTGTTTGATGATGAACGATAGTCGTTTGTCGTATGACCACTCGAGAGCACACGTCACGAAAGTATCGAGGCCTTGGAGCCTTTTTCGTATCATCCCATTTCTCATTCCTTCCGCCGAAGAAATATCGAATCACTCTTTAGCGATTCATGAGTAATGTCGTGAATGAGTCAATCTGTTAATCTGTTTGAGAAACGCAGCATCCTCAGACAATTACTACAGCGAATTACATTCTAACGTTTCGATGGAATAAATAAATTCAATCCAACATCTTTGAACAAAATAAAATCTTGTATCAAATTTTTGTATATCGCAAATATTACGTAATTTCCAAATGAAAAGTTAGATGCAACTTGCAATAAAATATCTATTATTAATATATCTATTAATAATATATATTATTTTATTTAAAATAAAATGAGAAATGGAGAAATAATATTGCAACTTTTATTTTATTTTCGACTATTAATTTATTTTCAGTGGGGTTAATATATTCACAGTAAAAACGAATATGCGATTGTGCAGAGCTATGAAGCGGACGATCGAGAGCGACCACCAACTATCGCGAACACGAGAGCAACCATCCATATGCCTTTCAGTTCGCATATGCGTGAACGTGCGTCGGAACTGAACTCGCGCGCGCGCGCGCGCGCGCGGATGTGGCACCCAATGAGTTTAAATCATGCCGACTGCCGACGAGAGAGAGAGACGCGTTACCGGAGCGGAATTCGCTCTACACGACTAAATAGTAGAGAAGAGAAACACGAAGATCGGTTTGGAGGCACAAAAGGGACTTGCGATATTTATTTCATGGCATTTCGAAGAACTAGCGACCGGTCTTTCTAGCGGCCTCACGCGTCGCGGAAATTATGACATAAATTAAAACGAGAGAAATGATAAGGAAGATTGCCAGGCGGAAAAAAGGTAATAATACTTCCCTGTAAAGGTATGTTCTCCTTAACACTCAGTGGAACTTTCAAATGCCTAATTTTTTTTCAATCTCTCGGCTTTCAATAAATGCTCGCTAAATCGCGCAGGGCACTTCCGTCGCGATGTCGTCCTTAATCCTAACAAATCGAATTTAACCGTCGCAACGACACGTACGAGAGCCAGAAAGACCGAGAGCGCGATGGAAGGACGAAGAGATAGATCGCGCGATCGTTACCAAGATAGAAACAGGAGGAGAGGATGGGGCGAAAGAGCAGACGAAAGACGGAGGGGTCTGCAGAAGTAGGAAAGGAGAATAATAAAGCGAGTCAGTGCCAGGTGCCCGCTTGGCATAAGAAGAAGGCATCCAAAGCAGTCATGTCATTAGAGACCGTGAAAGACGTGACAAATGACAGTCTGTCTGGTCTTGAATGCGCATTGGCGCCCTATATCGCTGCCACTCGTTTGTTTGCGGTCGCATATTGTCGCGCTGTAGAAGAGGAGGGCACGGTGAACCTCTTCACGAACCTTCCTCTTCATTTATCGTGGAACCTCCGCCGCTGGCTTGCCAGATCGACGGCATTGCCCGTCTACTGTGAGAATCCGATTCGCCATGGATCCTTGGGGATGTTTTGACGGCCGCTTGACGAGCGATTGTCCTTTCGACTTTTGCGGCCCTTCGAGTATCTCGCCGTGCCCTTTTTTTTGCTCCCGTTACTGGCATCTTCGTATTCCTCCCCGTGCGCGTTTTACTTCCGGACCGTCGACGATAATCGCGCGTATTTTCATCGATTCACTATGGATTTCTATTTCTAAAAATACGAATCGTTTCGCGTGATCGCAATGACATTTCTTAAAAAAATGATCCTAAAAAAACTTGATTATTCTTCTAAAAAAAGTTCGAAGATGTTCTGCTCGCAATTGACCTTGCAAAAACAAAAAAGAATTCTATCCTAACGAAAGTACTCAGAAACGGCAATTTAATTCCTGTCTCTATCTGAAAGTCTTACCACAT